GTCCTCGGTGTGAGCAAGCTATATCCACCCTGAAGGTTAATCTTGGACAACATCTGAAGATTGGCTCTATGTGACTTATCCAAGTTATCATTTACCCAGAATGCTTTGCATGTAAATAAAATGGCCCCGTTCGTGTAATATATTTTTAAACTTTTAGTTTAAAAATGATAAAAACTGAACAGCCTACAGTATTTTTACAGTTTTTATTTTACAGTTAAAATATATGTTTATTAAATAACGTCTAATGTTAACTAATCATGGATCCCTTTAAAGGCCATCCAGTGATTAATTAGATATTTTGCTTACAGACACAACTAAGCCCATAGGGACTGAAATTAGCCAAGGCTATTAGATGTTTTAGTTTATGGTATTGTAAATACTTGACACTTATCATACAAATAAACAATAAATACATGAAAACTAGAAGAACACCTGTGTTTTATGGCAGTGGGCTATAAGCAGGACAGTTGTCTGCTATCTAGTTTAGAAACAGCTGCTCTAGTTAGAAGCAAAGTCAGCCCATCAAATTCTTAACATGTAAATAGTTTACTGTGATTCATCATTTAAACACATGCTGTTATTAAAAGAAAACTTCCCAGCAAACATTTCATAACATGCTTGTCTTTAAAAAAAAACATCCTTATGAGAACATTTCAGTCAAATAAATAAAAGAGAAATGCTGACGTGGATAGTGTGGTTCATGGATGGATGAGATCCACTTACCAACAGAAGTAAAGGAGTTTCCTTATCAGGAAACAGAACATGAACACAACATTACACACCAGGGACTCTTAGGATGAAAAACCATGAAAATACTCATGAGCGTGCTTCAAAACAAACAACTACACAACAAGGTCACACCTCAAAACTCACAACAGAAAATGAACATTTATAAAATGTCTTGCTTTCAGTAAATAAACAGGAGAAACTCACCGGCAGTGAAACTGAGTTTTCCTGAGTTTACAGGACAGCAAAATAAAAAAAGGGAAGAATAAGTATGTAACCTGCACAAATATTTCATTTTCTTGCACAATTTACTCCAACAGCAGTAAAAATAAATAAAAAATGCATGTTTGGTGCAGATAATCAGTGTTTGTTTTGTAGAATGTGTGTGATGTGTCCTGTTCAGATCTGTCAATCACAAAAAATGTTCATCGTWTATTGGGTTTATTTAGGCTCATACACAAAGAAAAGACCTTTTATTTCAAAAATAATTACTATACATGCGATGAATTTAAAAAAAAACAGCTAGGATTTGGATTTTTCAGCCATACAAACAAACATGTTCTCAGATTTAAAGGTGGAGCTAACCAATAATAAAACCCCACAAAGTCTTGTCATGTACCAGACCTTGTACAAGGTTTCTATTGCTGTTCTGATTTATGTCTATTTCTAACGATGTGTAAAGCTATTTCATTCTGTGCCAAGATTAATATACTGTATTTGTCTGATAACCCCAGATTAAGACAGAACTGAAAAGTGCATTTGCATTTACCTCAATCGCATCCTTAAATTCATCATCTGGTTCAGCCTCCTCAGCTTCCTCTACACTCCCAGGAGAGAGGTCCTGTTACCACACACACACACACACACACACACACACACACACACACACACACACACACACACACACGGCAAGATTTTATAATTGTACGTTGATTTTCAAAGACTGAGAAACCCCAAACATGAGGATAAAAACTCATATACACACGTGGACAAGATTGTTGGTTCCCCTCGTTTCATGAAAGAAAAACCCACATCTGACAAAAGTAGCAATAAATAAAAAATCTATAAAAATGAACAAATGAAAGTCANCACACACACACACACACACACACACACACGGCAAGATTTTAAAATTGTACGTTGATTTTCAAAGACTGAGAAGCCCCAAACCTGAGGATAAAAACTCATATACACACGTGGATCAAATTGTTGGTACCCCTCGTTTCATGAAAGAAAAACCCACATCTGACAAAAGTAGCAATAAATAAAAAATCTATAAAAATGAACAAATGAAAGTCTGACATTGCTTTTCAACCATGCTTCAATGGAATTACGGTATTTTAAAAATAAAACTCATGAAACAGAAGATAAATGATGGTACCTCTGAGAATAATGTGACCAAAGGGTCATGTTAAATCAAGGTGTGTCCATTAATTATCATCACAGCTGTCTTCAGTCTTGTATTCAGTCAGTGGGCCTGTATATAGGGCTACAGATACTCACCGTGCTGTTTGGGTCATGGTGTGGACCACACTYAACGTGGAGAGGAAGTGAAGGAAAGAGTTGTCTCAGGAGATTAGAAAGAAAATTATAGACAAGCATGTTAAAGGTAAAGGTTATAAGACCATCTCCAAGCAGCTTGATGTTCCTGTGACTACAGCTGCACAAATTATTCAGACATTTATGATCCATGGGACTGTAGCCAACCTCCCTGGACGTAGCTGCAGGAGGAAACTTGCGGTGTCCCGGCACMTGGTTGTGCATCTCTGAAAACCTGAAGAGGCTGTGCACACACCATTCAAGCAGTTGTTTTTCCAGCCTTTGCTCTCCTATTTACAACATTTCACAAGTTTTAAAGTGTTTTGCCACATCTTCTTTTGGAGAATACTACAATAACTTGAGCACCAATTATAAACACCTCCAAAGCTGGCGACGATGTGCGCGTGCCCTACACAAGTACCCTAACCGTGACTTGAAGYCTTTTAGCAGGTAAGCATCAGTTCGAAACAGTTCCTGTATCTGTCRTGTCACTTTCTTTAGAAATATACACACAGACACAGGGTTTTGCTCTCTGAGCTKGACGCATGCGCCGACGCATCACTGTTGCTGGACTCATCACTACTGRGCAGGGTACAACAAAATCTCAAGACTATCAAGGATTCTAGAGAGAAATGTGCTGCAGTGTCAGAAAGCTTGGTCTCAGTCACAGGTCATGGGTCTTGCAACCGGATAATGACCCAAAACACACAGCTAACAGCACCCAAGAATGGCTAAGAGGAAAACACTGCACTGTTCTGAAGTGGTCTTCTATGACCCTGACCTAATCMTATTGAGYATCTTTGGARGGAGCTGAAACAGGCCGTATGGAAAAGGYAGCCTTCAAACCTGAGACAACTGGAGCAGTTTGTTCATAAGGAGTGGACCAAAAGACCTGCTGAGAGCTGCAGAAGTCTCACTGACAGTTACAGGAATCGTTTGGCCTGTTTTATRAGTTTAAATTATTTTTTAATTCTGTTGAAGCATGTTTGAAAAGCAATATCTGACTTTTATTTGTTCATTTTTACAGAATTTTTATTTACTGTTACTTTTGCCAAATTCAGGATATTTCTGTGACAAATGTGGGATTTTCTTTCTTAAACGAGGGGTACCAACAATTTTGTCCATGTGTGTATAACAGGTTTGACCCTAACGTGTGTGGTGTACAGCCACACGGCAAACACAACACACAACACACAAACAGATGTCACTCACAAACATTTAGATGACAGACAGGAAATCTTGCAAGACATCTCAAGATCAAACGTTAATCAGAGTAAATAAACACAGACGACGAGAAAAAACTATGGTGATAGTTTGTGAACTATTTTTAACAGCGATAAAAAAAWGACATCTCCAATGTCCAGTGGACTTTCTGTTGTGCCTTTGTTGTTTTGTCTTCTGTATTTWGGATTCTCCTTCSTGTTTATGYCACYTTGCYTTCTGATTTGCTACAGGTCACATTCAACAGGTTGYGAGCTCGTTTGTCCTCGGGGAACCCCACACACAMACTGGAATATCAGGCCAAGACAATCCAACAATTTGAATATCCTTGATTTCAGGTTGAAGCGGTCCCAACGTCCTTTTGAGCCGACTTGATCACTTCTAACTCACCAAACATGGAAGGAATATCTCAGAAGATTATCKTTAGAGCCACCACAATAACAGGGGTGTCCTTAAGAYTGTCAGGACAAAATCAAAAAACGGCACAATTACAGCGGGTAAAATAAGTATTGAACACGTCACCATTTTTCTCGGTAAATATATTACTAGAGGTGCTAATGACATGAAATTTTCACCAGAT